TGTTCGTGCCCCGGTCAGGGAAGATCCCACATGCCGCGGAGCAGCCGGGCCCATGGCTAAGCCTGCGCAACCGGAGCCTGTGCTCCACAACGGGAGAGGCCACAACAGTGAGAGGCCCGCGTACCGCAAAAAAAAATAAAAATATATATATATAATAATTTAAAGTTTACTCCTTTAAGTGAAATATGAATGTCCCATGTGTTTACCTCACAATCATTTTCAGTAGTTAATGGACATTCTCATGATTCAGGCATCCAATCAATTTCATTGATTAGCTGAACACCACAAACTGCAGTAGTCATTTTGATCTTTATATAGGTTTTTTTTGTTTTTCTTTTTTTTTTTAAATTGAAGTATAGGGACTTCCCTGGTGGTCCAGTGGTAGAGAATCCATCTTACAATGCAGGGGATGCAGGTTCAATCACTGGTCAGGGAACTAAGATCCCACAGGCTGTGGGGCAACTAAGCCCACGTGCCGCAAACTACAGAGACCACATGCCCTGGAGCCTGCGTGCTACAACTAGAAAGAAGCCTGCACACTGCAAGGAAAGATCCCGCATACCTCAAAGAAGATCCCGTGTGCCGCAACTAAGACCCAATGCAGCCAAAAATAAATTAAATAAATAAATAATAAATCTTCTTAAAAAATAAAAATGAAGTATAGTTGATTTACAATGTTGGGTTAATTTCTACAGTACCACAAAGTGATTCAGTTATACATATATACATTTATTATATTCTTTTCCATTACAGTTTATCTCAGGATATTGACTATAGTTCCCTGTGCTATGCAGTAGGATGATCTTTATATAGTTTTAAGTCATTTTTTATTTTTAGTCACATCATTTAATTTATTCCCATAATGGACCTTATTGGTTGAATACCAGAAAAATAATGGTGAAACACACCAAATTAAGGAGGAATATAGAAATATTTCTGAAAATCTCAAAATGTTCCCCCAAAGTGACATTTGTATGGTCAAAATTATTTACGAGGCCCAGCAAGGTATTTCTGGTACTTCAAAAATAAATTTAAAAAGAGGAATGATTATTATATGCAATTTAGTACGAGGGGAAAACCTATCACATTTTAATTTTTTTTTTAAATAAAGAGGTGCTTGTATTGTTACTTATATGTGGAATCTAAAAAATAAAACAAAGGAACAAATATAACAAAGCAGAAACAGACTCAAAGATACAAAGAACAAACTAGTGGCTACCAAAGGGGAGGGGCGTAGGGGAAGGGGCAAAGTAGGTGAAGGGGATTAAGAGGTACAAGCTACTAGGTATAAAATTAAAAAGTTACAAGAATGTAATATACAGCACAGGGAATATGCAACTGAGTCCCCGTAAAACTGAGTTCCTCTGCTGAGTTTATTATTAACCTCTCTATCCAAAACTTTATTCCATTTCTTGTCCCACACCTGTTCCTCTCAAGATAGAAGAATATCAAACTAAAGGGGGTACTGAAATCAAACAGGTCCTGGGGGGGGTCCTCCTGTGTACAAAAGCCCCTCCATTTCCCCCATTTTTTGTTTGTAAAAAATGTCTCTAGTCTTCCAGGCTTTCCCTGAGTTCCAAAGAGCAGGCACAGGCAGTTACTAATTAGGGAAATGAGAGAATGCAGAAACAAAGGAAAAGCAGTTAAACAAGAAAAATAATGGCAGTAATTCGGCAATAAAGCAGAATCCTAGTTCCTCCTCAAGGGATATACATAACAATCTGACAGATATCTTTGTCAGGAACTAAGGCCCCCCACTCACCCAGGTGGAGGACAGTGACTACATTCTCAAGCACTAGACCCCAGACTGGTTGGAACCAGAAGATTGATGATTGAGATTCCTGAAATGTCATCCTGCTACCTCACCACCAAGCAATCAGAAGAAAGTCATGAATCTTGCAGCTCTCACCCCCAAATGTTGCTTTTAAAACTGATCCCCTGAAAACCATCCAGGAGTTTGGGTCTTTTGAGCATGAGCTGCCCATACTCCTTCCTGGGCCCTACAATAAATGGTGTACTTTCCTTCACCATACCCAGTGTCAATAAATAGGCTTTGCTGCATGGCAGGTGACCAGACTCAAGTTTGGTTCAAAACAAATACAGTCAATATTTTATAATAACTTCGTATGATGTGTAATCTATAAAAATATTGAATTACTGTGGTTTACACCTGAAAATAATATAATAAGTCAACTATACTTTAATAATAATAAAAAAGAAGTGCTTATAATCACTCTAAAACCTTCACTCATAAAATCTTTTGAATTTTTTAAGTACCAAACACAAGAATTCCAAACAGGTTCTGAGAGCAGTTTTTATTGACTTTTTTATGCTCTATTAGATAAAGAGATTCTAATAAACATTCTGTCACAAAACATATTCATTTAAAAGGTATCATCAAATTTTTTCTTTTATAATTAAACGGTGCGTCACTTGATAATGGGGAAAAAATCTAAATTTGTATATATGAGATTGCAAAAAAAAATAATCTCTAACATATCAATCTAAGTTAAATGACTTTTACTTAGTTACTTAACATTGTTCATGCAAAAGTGATATTTTAAAAAATTTCTACAGATCTTCAGATTATATATTATGAAATCTAGAGAACTGTATTCTTCAAAGAAAAATCTGAAGACAGTTACCTAATTTGTTATTTTAAAATTACATACAGAACATATTTACGCAATATAGTAAACGTAGTATTTTGACTTTAAGTTGTGTTAAAAAGAAAATAGATTGGGATTGATATATATATACTAAATGTATAAAATGGATAACTAATAAGAACCTGCTGTATAAAAAAATAAAATAAAACAAAAAAAAGAAAATAGAAAAGCAATAAATTTTCTTCAGCAGAAGAGATCGAAGGCACTAATGTTTGGTATCATTTACTGAGATTGTAAGCTTTCAAGAAAAAATGCAACTACAGCATTATTACTTGAGGGTTCATTTTCATTATCTAAATTTCCTTATAGTAGGATCTCATAAACAGACCTCACAAAAGATTTATGAACCTGTCCTCATTATTACTCACATGTATAAAGTGGAAGCAACAAATAAATTTAGTTCAAACAAATTGAAGGTCAAGTTTTCCAGAAAGCAGGTTAAAAAATTATGTTTCAGTTAGGCTAAAAAAATGTATATATCCATACCTCCCAATTACTGTATGTTTTAAATGTATTCAATCAACAATTACACTTTTGAATGTATGCCAGTAACTATGATATGTGAACGCTATCCAAAAGTTTTTGCAAACATTTACTGAGCAGCTCCTTTGTGTTATCGCTGTTTGTTAGCCACCAATAGCTTACTTTTTTTTCTGGCTGCACTGCACAGCTTGCGGGATCTTAGTTCCCCAAACAGGGACTGAACCCGTGCCCCCTGCAGTGGAAGCACAGAGTCCTAACCACTGGACCGCCAGGGAATTCTCACCAACTTTACTTTGATAGCCTATACAGTCCTCCCTGGAAATCCGCCCAGGGTTGGTTCCAAAACTCTCCGCAGACACCAACATTCCTTATGTACATAGTACCTAGCCATCAACTCACCACTAAATTACTGATACTGAACTCTTGCAATTTAAGTTTTTAAGACTCATGAATAAAAAGTAAAATTGTAAAAGAAAATTAATTTTCAATTATTATTTTACTGCTGTTCTCTTTGGTACTCCTGCCATGGTACTTTTGAGTTGGGTTACCAGTTAACCTTGGATAAATGAAAACTAAACTCAAGGCAATAAGTGTCTTTGCTTTCTTCTCATGAGTGTCAAAACTGCTGAAGTTAATCACAAAATATTAACCTTTTAGCTAGGTTTTCAGATCCGATAAAATTTCCCCTCAAATGAATGACCATGCGTGCATTCTACTTCGATTTTTTAAAATAATAAGGAGGAAAAGGAGGTAATTCCTGTCTCCCTCCTCCCATCCCCAAAGAGCTGAGAAGTTAAGATGCTTTTTCTTACAAAAACCTCTCCCTACCCATGACGAAGCAACCAAGGATGCCAAGGCAAACCCGGAGATTCCTAAATCTTTAGCAGATTGTAACAAGGAAAACCAAAATTTGACAAAATTCTTCCTTCATTTCCACTGTTTCTGCAAAGATCAACTATTTTCTTGCTTTTAAAAAAAGACCACTGCAGGAATGCTGGCTTTACACTTAATGAATAAAACTGCCCTAACGCAGAACCTGACGCTCACTACTACCAAAAGAGGGCCTTAGTCAGAGGTTAACTACCGAGTAGGGCAAACACTTTAGCAGTCACTCCCTTGCAAACGACAGAAAATGAAGACGTCTCTTTCGAATCTGAGGACAGTCGTGAGGTATCTCCCCCTGTCCCCTTCCATTACCAGCCTTGTTCCTTTCTGAATCAGGCAGTCCATCAGCCAACCTCCTTTGTCAGTAAAGAGGATTGATGGTCAGAATCTTTTCGAGACAAAGATTATTGGAATAGTTCCCTGGAACCCAAGGTATCACTGTTAAGGCATCAGAGTCCTCGCCAAGCCCCGACAATAACAAACCAACCAAAGCCTGCGCTCCCCATCACCGCCACCATTTATCGCTCTTCCTAGCCAGGGCTGAGACTCAGACCAGGAAAACCTTTCCCTTTCAGGGAAGTAAGAAGGCGCCAGGTCTGTTTCCTCAGGCCCTTCCTCTCCTCCACTGCTCCCTCAGAACACCTCTACATCTTGAGCTGCTAAGTACGCTTTCAACCGCCAAGCAGCCCCGTCCCAGACACACCCAAGATGGCTCCAACCACCTACCAGAGGAAACAGCTGAGCCACCACTCCAGCGATGCCGTCCTCTCGACTGCGGATATCCCCATTGGTCCAGCCAGAGAGCGCGAGACAACCCGAGAGTTCTGACAGCCAATCGGGAGACGGCGCGCTCCGGCGCTCCCGCGTTGCCGACGGTACGCGCGCGGAAGTTCTGAGGCGTGGACCCAGTGGGTGTGCAGCCGATGGGCTCCGGGCCAGGTGGTGGGAACCTTCAGTGTCCGACTCCTCCCATTTTGGGTTCGCGTTAGGCCTGGCCGTTAGGGTTTGGGCGGTCCTCCGTCCCTGCTGAAGCGAGGCGGGACTGTTTTTGTTGAGGTGAGGTCTAGTAAATGGTGAAGTACTTCCCGGCCAGAGGGTACCTGGGTCCGTGGGGTCTCGGTGGCGTGCAGTGGGAGAGGAGTCCGACCCGCGAGGGAACCCAGCCTCGCCAACGGAGCGGGAGGCGTGGAAACCGCAGTCGAGCCGGTGTAACCGAGGCACGGTCGTGGTTGGCCCTCCCGACGGCTCTTTCGGCCCAGCACCCGGGAACGCGGCGGAGCTCTCGGCCGCGTGGATCCCAGCCCTTGTCACCTCCCTTCTTTCACCCACGTGCAGTCCCGGGCTGGAGAAGGGACTGCGGGCGCTCTGAGTTCTCAGCCCGCATTCCAGTCTCTTGTCACCCGGTGCACATCTTCATGTGAGGTGATTCCTAAGCAGCTGGGGAACCTGAGGCTGTAAAAAGGGCTGCGGGGAGTGGACTGCAGTCCAAAATCCAGAAGCAGAATTTGATGGTTTAACCACTGACCCATTTCACAGGTAAGACCACACAAACCCTAAATAAGTAAAATCATCTACCCAAGATCACGGACTTGATGTCAGATCCTAAGAGCTCCTGACTCTCGTTAACCACAATCCAATAAGAAATTATCCCCAACAGGTAGTTAAATAAGGAACAGTATGTAATTGTGCTCTTCGGCACGTGGAAACCTGCAGTGAGCTCTGCATGTATTAATGAGGCGGTAGATTGAAATAATCAAAAAACGGGCTCAAAAATCAGACTGCTTGGTTCCTTAGTTGCTCTCTGCCACTTACAGTGTGGCGGCTTTAGCTTCCTTGTGAGAAAAACGGGCATGCTAATTTATCCCACATGATTGTTAGGCACATTAATACGAACACGTGAAGTATTTAGAAGCCTGCCTGTCACATGTTTTATATGCAATAAATGTTCATTACTGTCATCACAATTAAAACATAATAGGAAATGGTCACAGTTTCCTAAGAGCCTATTTGTAAAAACGAAAAGGAACCATAAAATGAAGCGAAACAGACTATTTTTCTGCCAAAATGAAAAAGAAGGGGAAAAATATGAGCAAATTTTAAAATCCTGTTACACTCTCAAATAACACTGGTTGTCTCTGGATGATGAGATTATGAGTGATTTAAATTTTCTTTGTGCTTTACTATATTTTGCAAATTTTCTTCAGTAAACATGTTTTAATTTTGTAAGTTCAGTTACTTTTAAATTTTCAGAAGGTATGAACAACACTGGTGAGAGCTTTCTTTAAAACGAAGCTATTAGTGTGCTTATATGCTACAGGTGGAAGTATGAATTGGTAGAACATTTCTGGAAGGCAGTTTGGCAATATGCTCTAGAAGGCTTTAAAATGGACAGTCCCTTTTTGAAAGTTATATACTTAATTTTTAAATTAGTGCATTTTTACATTCTCCTTTTATGAAATTAGAACCTTACAGATACAGAGCACAATCCACAATCCATTACCTACCCCCTTCTCCCATTCCACACTCAAGACTTTGATGCAGAGCCTTCAAGTCCTTTTTTACACTTACATATTCTCTGTAGGTGCATATATGCATTTGTAATTCTTAAAAATCGAAGTGGTATCATACTATATAATTTTGTAATTTTATTCACTTGACAGTGTTTTTGCAGTGTAACGTGTTATTTTATAGCTTGTTATGTTATTTACAGCTCGTTTCTTTCACCTGCTCGATAGTGTTCCAATGTATGACTGAATTGTTCTGTTAATGTAAAATATTTATCTTTGTCTCATTTTCATGTTAAATTATATTTTGTTTGATATGTACTATGTAGCGCATTTTATTTACCATTCTCCTCTTGATGGACATTAGGTTGTTCAGTTTTTCACCTTTCAAACAGTGCTGCAGGGATATCCTTTTATTTGTTTTGCTGTGCACATGTGCTGTTTCTCAAGAATATATACCTAAAAGTGGAATTGCTTGGTTTTAAGTTATGAACATTTTTAATAGGCATTGCCAAATTTGCCTCCAAAATACTTCTACTAATTTACACATCCTACAAAGTATGACAGTTCAATTTCCCTACAATCTAGATCAACATGAGATACTATCTTTGTACTTTTTGTCCATCTGATGGATGAAAATTATACTCATTTAAAAATTTTTTTCATTCTCTGATTACCAGTAAAACTGCAGTATCTATTCATATGTTTATTGACCTGTAATATATATGTTTCTATAATTTCTTTTTTTAAATTGCCCATTTTTCTATTGAATTATCTTTTTCCTAATGATTTGAGGAGTTCTTTTTGCGTCCTGGTTACTGTGTATCCTGTATAGTTTTTAAAAATTTCTTTAGAGTCTGTGGCTCTGTCCACTTTTTGTTACCATTGTTAAAAAATGTTACAGACATTTTCTCCCAACTCTTTGGTTGGCTTTTAACTTTAAGTTAAAATTTTAAGTTTGTTAGTTTTCAATTATTTATTCTACAGATAGATTTTTCTCTTCTTTACAATCTTTAGGTCTCTTTTTATTTTACTGTATTTCTCTAAGACTTCCAGTACCAAACTTCCATTGGTGGCAAGTGTCCCCATCTGGTGCCTGACTGTAACGAAAATGCTTCTGATGTTTCCTCATTGAATATGATATTTACTTCTTTGTTTTGGTAGGTAGTCTTTATCCGGTTAAAGAAATTCTCTTTTATTCCTAGTTTGCAAGAGTCCTTGTCTTCCCCACCGCCCCCGCCCCATGGCCCCCGGCCCACCCCAGAATAGTTGTTGACCATTATTGAAATTCTTTTTTGTGTCTTTCTGTATTTAAGATGATAGTTTTCCTCTATTTATCTGTTAATGTAGAAATTTACATTGAGTAACTTTACAATGCTAAACTTTTTGGGTATTCCTGGTATAAACCATACTTTGGTAACATACTTTTACTCTACTGCTGCATGTTTTTACTTACTATATTTGCTTCTATACCAAGAAGTGCGTTTGGCCTTGAGTTTCTTTTCTTATGCGTCAAGGTTACAGTAACCTCAAAAAAATGTTGAGTAGCCGCCCATATTTTTTCTGCTCTTGAACAGTTTGTATACTATGGAAATTATCCATTCCTTGAAAGTTTTGTAGAATTCTTCTATAAAACTTTTTGGACCTGGTATACTGGGAGTGAGAGATGGGGATGTGTGGCATGCAGCTCTGGTAAGATCTTTAATTGTTTTAATTTCCTTTTCGTACTTATCCCTCTAATTTTTTTTTTCTTTTTTTCTTGAGCCTAGTTGGTAGTCAATAAGTTCAATTAGATATTCATGGTGAATTGTTCTGTCAGTGTAAAATATTTGTCTCTTTTATTGGTTTTCATATTAACTTCTATTTTGTTTGATATGAATGTTTCTTCTTGTATTTGCTGGTATGTCTCTTTTTCACATCCCTTCATTTCAACCTTTTGATGACATTTTGTGAGATTTAAGTGGGTCCCTTATTTTAAAATATAGCTAGGTTTTGCTTGCAATTTAATCTGAGAGTCTGTCCTTTAATAAGTAAGACTGAACACATTAACCTTTTTTGTGATTATTAACATAATTGGCCTTTTTCTTGTCCTCTTATTTACCTTGCTTCCCATTGTATCCTTTATATCTTATATTTTTCCATTTCTCATTTTAATTGAGGTTTGCCCCAAGGTTTTAATTGAGGTTTTCTTTGTTCTGTTTTCTTTTTCATAGATTACTTTTACATTTTTTTTAAAGATTTATTTATTATTTTTAAATTTTATTTATTTTTGGCTGCGTCGGTCTTAGTTGCGGCGCACGGGCCCTTCGTTGTCTTGCGCGGGCTTCTTTAGCTGTGGCTTGCACGCTCGAGGGTGCGCGGGCTCTAGTTGAGCTGAGTAGCTGCGGGGAGAGGGCTTAGTTGCCCTGTGGCATGTGGGATCTTAGTTTTATGACCAGGGATCGAACCCACGTCCCCTGTATTGTAAGGCGGATTCTTTACCACTGGACCACCAGGGAAGTCCCTACTTTTACATTTTTAACACAATTATTAAATTTATATTTTCCTAACAAAGTCTGCATTTCGTTTGTATTGATATCCTCCCTACGAAGAACTTAGTATGCTTCTACTTTATTTTCTCAGATCTTGCAAGAATCCTCTTCCATCCCTCCTTCAGAAAAGAATGTAAATTTCCTATGGTTATATCTTCCAGCAATTTGGTTTCGTCATTAAAACCCATTTTTAATCTGTAATTATCTAGCATTAATGTGTTTTACTCATTTATTTACTCACTTTTGCTTCTTTTACCTCAGTACTTCCTTCTACGTTAGTTTTTATTCATGAAGTACTTCTTTATTTCTTTCAAAGTCTTTGAGTGTCTGTAAAAGCCTTCCCCCCAACCCCCACGTTGAAAGATACCTTGGCTGAAATAGTATTCTGGATTCAGACTTATTTTCCCTTAACACTTTGCATCTGGCATTTCTGATGAGAAGTCTGAGTACCAGTCTAATAAACATTCCTTTTAGATAATCTAGATTTTCTGAAAGTTTCTGAGACTTTGTCTTTCTTCTTGATATTCTGAAGTTTATCCATGGTTTGTCTAGTGGTATGTATTAAAAAGTTTATCTTGCTTGATGCTCAATGGACCCTTACCCACACTAGCCACATTAGTAGGCTAATGTGTTTTCCAGTTCTGAGAATTTTTTGGTCATTATTGCCTCTTCATTCTAGTTATCCCTCCTTTTTTTTCTTTGCTCTGTGTTCTGAGTGAATTACTCAACTCAGTCTCTCAGTTTACTAACTGGCTCTTCATCTGAGTCTATGCTATTATATCTATCTATTGAGTTTATTCAATAACTGTTTTTATATCCAAGATAGCCAATTGGTTATTTTAAAAAATTGTATGTTTTTTCATAGATGAGGTTTCCTTCTTTAGCTCTTTGATATTAAATACAGTATTTGCTTTAAAATTATTTTCAGGATGCTCTATTAATTCTCCTCCTTAATATAAGTTCATCAGTTTGGTAGGCTTGTTAAGTCTTTTTCATGGTGTAGCTTTCTTCATATGTTTGATGGTTCTTGGTTGTGTATTCATCTCCTCTGAGAGGATTTACTCTTCCTTTTGCCGTGGTGATGTGTTTGTGGTTGGCATTATCTCTGCAACTTCCCATCTGTTTCCTTTCCCCAGAGAGGTCGCACAGACTCAATCTATAGAGAATTCCCTTTTTGTTTTCAACATGACTTTATATTTTTAATTACAAAAAAAATTACCATTTCTGCAGATTTGGTGTGGCAGTGGGAGAAGAATGTATATGTTGACTAACACCTTGAGACTAAAATTGCTGATCTCTTTTTGACCTTTTAGTTCTACCTCTAGGTGTATATCTTCAGGAAATAATCAGATATGCATAAGATATATTCCAGCCTTATTTATTATACTGGAAAAATAGAAATAATCTAAATGTACACTATACAGGTTTATAGTACTAATTATTAACTTATTAAATTTTAATAATTGCATAATTATTGTTTATAATTGTTCATATTACACTAAAGAACATAATAGTTGTTCTTTAGTGTAATTTAATATATGGATTATTGACCAAAGTACATTATACAGCCACTTAAAAGTCATATTACAGGAAAACATTAATGACGAGAGAAAGTACAGGATATATTATCAATGAAAGATTATAAAAAATTATACATACTAAAATTCAAATTTTGTTTTAAAAGTATATATAGTGAAAGAATAATAATAATTGCTAGCATTTATTGAGTCCTTTGTAATGTGCCAGGTATTCTAGGTGATTAAGTCTTAACCTCACAACAATCTTTTGAGGTAGTTAGCATTATTATCCCCATTTAAAAAGTTTTTTAAAGTTTTATAAAATGGAGTTAATTTATATTAATTAACATATATTAAGTAGATAGTTCTTAATTTTTCTGTTAATTAACATACTAAGTAGATGATTCTTAATTTTTCCGTAATTTTCCTAATATTGATATTTTACATGTTTTTCCAGTTAATATGTATTCTTTTTTCATAATAGTTCATGCTGTTTTAAAAGATAGCGCTATTGTTATAACAATCTCTTTTTTCTTATATATTTTATTATTTACCAATATGCACCATTCCTTATTGTTTTCCTTACAGAATGTTTCATGCATTCATGGACCGAAAGATGGAGTTGGTTTTTATTTTTAAAATAATATTGTCAATGATCTGATACGACTATATGTATTCACTTGATGAAGATGCATGGACTTGTCATTAAGTTGGACTAGTGATCATTTCTGAAAGTTTCTTCAACCACAATTTCTACTTGAAAATTCAAGTATCAAAGAATATTTGGTTTAGAGTGGTATAATGATGTATTTTCTCTGAGTACTGCAAATTTCATAGAGACCACAGTTGGATTCCAGTTATATTCTACAATCAAAGTGATTCAGTTCTTTGATAAAGTTAATTTCGAAGAATTTTATGTTTGTAAACAACACCAAAAGATGGGAGAAAAAAATGGTAGGTTGAAAAACCATTGTTAAACTTTATGTTTAAAAGTATATAGACTACTTAATGAAGCTGAATTGTGGAATTTTCAAGGTTTTTCTGTGCAAGTAACTTTTCTGAATTAGAAAGAATTAATAGGATTTATAGGACTTACTCTCATGTAGCAACAATTTTGATTGTCTTTATAATTAGTTGTGTATCTGTAATACTAAGTCAGTACCTTAATGTACTTTTTAAAAATATACTTTGGGCTTCCCTGGTGGCGCAATGGTTGAGAGTCCGCCTGCCGATGCAGGGGACACGGGTTCATGCCCCGGTCCGGAAGGATCCCACATGCCACGGAGCGGCTGGGCCCATGAGCCATGGCCGCTGAGCCTGTGCATCCGGAGCCTGTGCTACGCAACGGGAGAGGCCACAACAGTGAGAGGCCCGTGTACCGAAAAGAAAAAAAAATACACTTTCTTCTTTTTAGAAAACTTACAGATTTACAGAAAAATTGATAGTACAGAGAGTTCTCATATTCTCTGCACCCAGTTCTGCCTGTGATTAAAATCTTACATTTGGCTGGTACATTTGTTACAATTAATGAACCATTATTGACCCATTATAATTAACTGAAGTCCATAGTTTATTCTTATTTCCTTACTTTATGTCTTTTTCTATTCCAGGATCCCATCCAGTATACATTACATTTACTTATGTCTCCTTAGGGTCCTTTTGCATATGACAGTTTCTCAGACTTCCCTTGTTTTTGTAAGATTTTGTATCCAAGTGTTTGTAAGATGCCCCTTCATTGGACTTTTTTGACTGATTTTTGTTTTTCTCGCGATTAGACTGGGGTAGTGGATTCTGGGGAGGAAGACCATAGAGGTAAAGTGTCAGTTTTATGAAATGATATCAAGGGCGCATGTTACCAACATCATTTCTCACCTGCTGTTGTTGAGCTAGATCACCTGGCTGACATAGTGTTAAGTGGCTTCTCCACTGTAAATTACTACTCTCTTTTTTTCTCCCTTTCTCTACTATACTCTTTGACAGGAATTCACTGTGTGTAGCCCATACTTAAGGAACATGAATTTATGCTCCTCTTCTTTGAGAACAGAATATTTACATTAATTTTTCAGAATTCTTCTGCAAGGGAGATTTGTTTCCTTTCCCCAGTATATGTTTTATTCAATCATTTATTTACATCAGTATGGATTCATGGATACTTACTGTATACTTTGGGTTATAAGCCAGTACTGTTTCATTTTGTTCTTCAAATTGTCCCAGGATTAGGCATTTGGAGCCCTTTCGGTCAGCTTCCTGTCTCTTTGACATACCCCCATCAATGTAGGTGGTTTTTGTTTTGTTCTTTGTTTTTAGCACTTCCTTATTTTCTGGTACTATATGATGCTCCAGGCTCATCTTGTATATTGGCATAGTCCTAGAATGAGCCATTTCTTGAATGAGCCCTCCTGGTTCCTTTTATTGGAGAATGGTATTACAAACTAAGATCTGGGCAGTAGGTATATTCATTTGTTATTGGGTTGTCTTGCTTCTGGCCCTCTCAGCTGACAGAGCAAAGTATATATAAATATAATTGTATATACACATATCTATAAATATTTCTATATGTAACCATCTGTATCTGTATTGAGCTAAACATGAGTTTATACTGATGTTTCTGGCTCTAATCCATTACCACATGGATTATTCTAGCTTACTCTCCTTGCTTATCTATAAATTCCCATTATCTGTTATCCGTTTATTTAATTGCTCGATTCTAGTATATGTGTATAGCAGTATCAGAAGTACTGTAAACTTATTCCCAGGTGTGACACCTCAGTGCTTGTGCAACTTCCTTTTGCCTATAGTTTTACAGAGTCCATTTATTTCCAAAGTTATTTAGGTCAGCACCTTTTCCACTCAGCCCTTCAGAGAGGTTGTGTATACATTCCTTCCTGGGATCCCTGATCTCTTAAATGATATTTTAAAATTTGCATACATTAAGCTTCACTCTTTGTGCTTTCAAGTTCTATAGGTTTTGACGAATGCATAATGTCATGTATACACCACTACAGTATCATACAGAATAGTTTCACCACCCTTTAACATACTTGTAATATGCGGATTGTTTACAGATTGTAGTACTAATTTCACTGGACAGTTATCTAGGCCAGCGGTTTCAAACTTTCTTTTGGTCTCAGGACTACTTTATACTCTTAAAAGTGTTTAAAACCCCTAACAGCTTTTGTTTATGTGGATAATATCTATTCATATTTACTATATTAGAAAACTGAGAAGCTTCAAAAATGGTAATTGGCTTATTTTTTTTTAAATAATAAACCCAACATGTTAACAAATTACATTTTTATGAGACATAACTATTTTCTGAAATGAAAATAATTAGTGAGAAAACCATTGTTTTATATTTTTACAAATCTCTTTAATAGTTGGCTTAATAGAAGAGAGATTCTCAGGTCTCCTTCTGCATTCAGTCTGTTGTGATATGTTGCTTTGGTGTAAATGTATAAAGAAAATGAAGCTTCACACAGACAAGAAGTTGGAAAAAGGAAGAGTATTTTAATAGCCTCTCAGATAATTATGGATATTTTTCTTTGATACAACTACAAAACTCAACAAGTAGTCATTCCTTCAAGGTTAGTTATAGTGTGGAATCTGAATTCTTACCAGTGAGCTTTTTTTTACACTGTTACATTAAAAATCCATTGGTTTGTCTTGCACTTTGATGGGCCTTTTACACATGTATGATTTTATAACATCATGCATTGGCCACTTGGAAAACATTGGTTCAATGAATTATGCAGATTTTTCCAAATGTTGACACATTTAATCATACAGTATTTAAAAATTACATTTGTTAATATTGCTACCAATCTCATCAAAAAGTGATTAGTTATTGAGAAGCTCTCAAGCTTACCATGGCAGATGCAAGTTTTCTAAATTTTCAGTTTCAACTTGATAGCTTGAATTTTTCATTAGCAACAAATGCTGTTACTTTTGTCCTTCAAGTGATAGGCTCCCTTTATTCATGTTTGAGAAAATGTGTACCAAACACCCAAGTTGGAAAAAAACAATTTTTATTAGTGGTTCTTTTAAGGAAAAATGGTTTTCTATGAAAAAAAAAAAAACCCAGCTAGTTTAGCTTACAACTCAAACAATCTCCCTAGTGCTTTTCCTTGAAACAGCCATTGTACTGTGGTAATTATTATTTTTTTTGGTAATTATTTATGTTGCTTTATCAAAGACCTTCTTAAGTGAAATTGGTGGTAAATAATAATAATGACTTACTAGTAGTTCGGTGCAACTGCCTTGATTCACACTAAGGCTCCAACATTTTTACTCACCAGTGCTTTTGAACCATCAGTTAATGTCAATATAGGGAAGAAAAGGGCAAATAATGTCTTGATATTACTATTAAAATAGTTTGACCTAGCGTATTGTCTGAAAGGATTTGGGAACTCCCAGGAGTTCATAGACTACAGTTTGCTGATAACAGGCTCAAAGGTGTCCAGAGATTCTCTGTACCAATGTCCTGAAGCTCTTCAAGTGATGGAGAAATATAGATATATACATGTACACATACCTAGGTCATTATCGATGTATTTAGTAAGCACTCCATGTTGATGTTCTACAGAAGACCCTCTTCTCATTCTACAGATTCTCTCTAATCACATCTATTTTGTGGCTTTAGCAAGAATTTGTGTGCTATTGACTCCAAAATTTGTATATCTGGATCAGATCTTACCCTGGAGCCTGTGCATCCAGTTTACTCACCCTACTTGAATTTCTCACTTGTCTCTCTACCTTTATTCCCTATCGCAGTGGATACCATTATTATACATATGGTTGCCTGAGTCAGAAATATAGAAATCATTCTTGTCTCGTCCCTCTTCCCACTGCCACTTTAGTGATTTTTTAGAAGCAAAATTAGTAACATAATAAGATGCTTAAACCTCTTGAGTGGCTCCCTGTAGACTTCCATATAAAAATAAAGTTGCTTAGCATGGCACTCAAGGCTATGTCAGCCCCTATCTGTCTCTAAAACATAATTTCTCATTCCTTTTGTCCTTTCACATTGCATTTTTTTCAAATGTTGAAACCTTTGTCTGAACTGTGCTATGGGGAAAAAGGAAAAGTAGGCTTAGTCTTGTGTAGTACACATCAGGCCAGAGAGTTAACAGGGAAACAGCACCCCTCCTGAGGCTTCTATGGTAGCAGCAGCCCTAATTAGCCAGAGGTCCCCCTTTGGTTAGATGACTGACAGGGAGAGTTGGGACTCTGAGTCCTAAGCCTCTTTTGAAGAATCTCACTCCATTACCAACTTGGAGGTTCTGGGTTTAATTTTTAATATTAAGGAAAATGTATTTTTTGTAAACTTACTACGCTATCTGCTCATTAATCCTCCCAGTGGCTTCTCAAGTGACCTTTCTACAGTGCAGTTACTGTTATGTTTCTCCTTTGCTTGAGGCCCTATTCATTTTAAACATTTTATACATTAATTTTATATATTTTATAAATAATTTGTGTTTAACATTTTAGGTATTTTTTGTTACTTTTATTTTTATTTGTTTATTTATTTTTGCGGTATGAGGGCCTCTCACTGTTGTGGCCCCTCTCCCGTTGTGGAGCACAGGCTCCGGATGCACAGGCTCAGCGGCCATGGCTCATGGGCCCAGCCGCTCCGCGGCATGTGGGATCTTCCCGGACTGGGGCACGAACCCGTGTCCCCTGCATCGGAAGGCGGACTCTCAACCACTGCGCCACCAGGGAAGCCCCTGTTACTTTTAAACATGGTGTAAGATTTGACTTTCGCCAATTTATTTTAATTGCATTTCTCGTATTTCTGTTTTCAGCTTTGAAAGGATGATTTCGCTAGAAAATTTTTAAGGTGTTAGCTTGCTGGGCATCTGAAATGTTGGCTTATCTATATAACTTTATCTATAAAAGCTTTAAACATATTTTGCCTCCTGTAAGTGTGAACAAAAAATGTTACCTGCCATTTCAGTAAACAGTGAATATTGCCTGCCATCAAGCCATCATCCACTGCATCTGCCCCCAGCAGCACGCCCTGAGGGGAATTCAGAGTGTAGAAAAACCGGATACTAGTCCTAGATAGTTAAGATGCATGTCTGAGGAATAACTTCAATGAGCCCAAACTCTTGCATCTCCCCAGACACAGAAAAGCACTAAAATCATTAAACTGAGATGTCTGTCTTTTGTGATTAGCAGTAATCTTTTGATGTTTGACTACATGTTTTATTACCACCACCCCCCAGCCCCCACTCCCCCCAGCAAAAAACTTCTGTATATCCTGGCTCCTCCCTTACCTCTTCAGAGAAGTTCCTCAGAGCTGTCTGAGAGGCTGTTTCCCAGGCTGTGGTCCTCAGTAGTTTGCCAAATAAAACATAATGTGCAACTTGTTTGTGCGTTTTTCTTTCAGTCAACATAATTATTAAAAAGTTACTATCAAAGATAGTTTTTAAAGCATTATTGTTAGACATTTAGTTATTTCAACAATTGTTGAGATGTTTCCTTCTGGAACCCTCCACTTCCATACTCAATGGAGGTTATGTCCTTGAAACTTTTAAAATGAATGTGTCTATAAATACACCCACTCCCACCCCTAGAATGAAGTCATTCCTGCTGTTTTCCAGTCAAGAAATAGTGTCACTACACAGAAAGAAAAATAAATTGTTTAGGCATTTAAAGTTAAAAAAAAAAAGTGTCACTGAAGTTTTCAACACATTTTTTTTTTAATTATCAGAAATAAGTGAGATACCCAGGTCATATTTTTTGCTTGTAGGTCGTTGTAAAGAAACAGTGACCAAAATCTTTTTCTTCAAGGAAAGTAATAGGCCAGTTAAATTTTGATTTTTATTTAGAAACCAAGTATATTTTTAATAACATGTGCCTTAGGAAAATTATGTCTACTGAGCTCTTAGGCTATTATTTTTTCTTTAGGTGATGCAAAAACTTTCTGGATGGAGCTAGAAGATGATGGGAAAGTGGATTTCATATTTGAACAAGTGCAAAATGTGCTGCAGTCACTGAAACGAAAGATCAAAGATGGATCTGCCACAAATAAAGGTATGAAGCAATAAAAACGTTCAGTACATTTAATGCTGAATATTACCCACTGATAATATAATATAATTCTGTTTCCAGTATTGCTGTTCGTTTTAAAAGTCAAATAACTTCTTTTGTTTTTTAAGAACCTAACATCAGTTCTACCTGCTTTTTTTGTGTGTGTGTGTGTCCTGCTTCTATAAAAACTTGTTTTTACCATACTGTGGACATTTTGTAAAACTGGATGAAGCTGGTTACTTTGAATAATAGCTGCTGAATTTATCTCTATTTATCTCAGGCTACCTTCTTCTCCCTCATTTTATCTTTTTTTTGGGGAGTGTATTGCAAAACTCATTGTAGAACATTTGGTACATATAGAAGAATATAACAGAAATTATGTATTACCCAATCATTCAGAGATAACTTATTTTCTTTAATATAAAAGTAAATATATAAATATATTTTGCCTGCTTTAAACAGAACTTGCCTTAGTAGTCTTCAGAAAGCAAACCTTGCGTTCTACATAGGCAGGCAGTTCAGTCATCCCAGTATTTTTTCTGCTTCTTTGTCTTCAACCTAAGTGGTTGTAGAACATAGACTTTTATATGGAAATTTCCTTCATTCCATCAGAACATATGATTTTCAAGCAAAATCTCCCCTGACTATCCTTTATTTTTCCCCAGGATATTCTTAATACTTTATGGATGTTCTTATAACATTAATCTATGATGTGCTTGTCCACAAAATTAATAGTATTTTTCATTTTAATATTCCTTCTCATTCCTTCATGAATCAGATATATCTAGGTTTGAATCCAGTTCTGCCACTTCCTAGCTTATTGACCTGGAATAAACAGCTTAACCACTAGGCCTTAATTTCTTTGTCTTTAATGTATTTAGTAGATAATCATAAGAACCTCTTAGAGGAGTTGTGAAGATTGAATGAGATAAAATATGTAAATTGCCTAGTACAGTAGCTGACATCTTGAGTGAAGGTGATACTGCTGCTGATTGTTTTCATTCTTTTTTCCTTTCCTTAACAGAATACATCCAAGCAATGATTCTAGTGAAGGAAGCAACTATAAATAATAATTCAACTTTGATAAGGGGTATGTACATTTCTAATCCCAATCTAGAATATTCTCTGCTGTTTTCTTGCTTTGAAGCAAGCCAGCCTTAATTATGTCAAGTTAACTGAAGACAGTTTAAAAATAAAACTGTAAGATCCATATATGGAAATCAGTTTCCCTAGTAAACAAAAAGTCCTACCCCATAGGAAATGCATACTCTACTAAACCTCTCCGGGAAGAATTGTATCTCTTTTTCAAAAACGCTTCTACTATAAGAAGGGCAAATAGAATTCCAAGACTCCAAACCACTATAAACCTATTGATACTTTGTGTAAAGAACAATACTAAAAGGCACATTCTGGTATAGATAAATTGATGGAAATTTTTTTCATTTCTAGATTATTATTAGACCATCAGTCTAACGAATTTATTTTAGAAGTAATTGAACAAAGATAATGTACCAGGATTATAAAAAGAAAAATTGAAAAGTTATTTTAGATAAACAACAAGTCCTGTATAGCACAGGGAACTATATTCAATATCCTATAATAAACCATAATGGAGAAGAATATGAAAAAATATGTGTGTGTGTGTGTGTGTGTATATATATATATATATATATATATATATCTGAATCATTTTGCTGTACACCAGAAACTAATACAACATTATAGATCAACTATATGTCGATTAAAATTTTTTTTAATTAAAAAGCAAGTTATTTTATCAGAATCACTGTCCTATAAATCTTAGACTATCATTAATTTGCTAAAGTGTTGAGGAGGTACATTTACTAAATTTTAATTAATATTGGTAAATAATTATTTTAACTCATAATTTGGAGCCATAAGGTTTTAAATCTCTGAAAAATGGCTTAACATCATCAGTTTAGTTTTATTGATTTATTGATTGATTGATTATTGATTGCTGTGCCGAGGCATGCGGGATCTTCGTTCCCTGACCAGGGATTGAACCCATGCCACAGCAGTGGAAAAGAGGAGTCTTAACCACTGGACCGCCAGGGAAGTCCCAAGTTTATTTTAAAGAAAGCTTTTGTTATTCGAAAGTATTTTCAATTTCAGTAGCTAATGTACAGTTTTAGAAGAGTAGATTCTTTAAGAAAACAGTCTTTCAGTATCCTTCAATAGCACTTGGAATCAACACATCCTTAAGGGATTACATTTGCTTTGCAAGAGAAGCTTTTAAATGCAGGAGGTGGTAAGAGGAATTAATTCTAAGCAACTTTTTTTTTTTTTCTTTCTGAAACAATCTTTCCCACTAAAAGAATATAGGTTGGGTTTTGTTTTGATTCTTTTTTTTTTTTTTTTTCCTGCGGTACGCGGGCCTCTCACCGCCGCGGCCTCTCCCGTTGCGGAGCACAGGCTCCGGACGCACAGGCTCAGCAGCCATGGCTCACGGGCCCAGCCGCTCCGCGGCATGTGGGATCCTCCGGGACCAGGGCACGAGCACGCGTCCCCTGCACCGGCAGGCGGACCCTCAACCACTGCGCCACCAGGAAAGCCCTGTTTTGGTTCTTTTAAAGATTTCATCAATAGAAATACTGAGTACTATAGTTTCATATTTTTATATATAGTTCATCTGAAGTGTAACAAATTTATCAAAATAAATTTGGTAGAGCAATGGTAGAGCAATGTTTTAAAAGTAATTGGGGAGTTACGTAATTGACATTGCTAGCATATGTACGGATTAAACACTTTCTAGTAATAAAGATTCATGTTAGTATTTATATTAAAAGGAATACTGAGACTGGGGGAAACAAAAGGACTTGGTGTTGAGGTCAAAACAAGCCATCCCAGATCCAGCCTGAATTCTCCAAACCACTAATTACCTTTAATTTTCTTTGATTGTGTATAATTCTGTAAATATCTGCTGTATCCCCATACAAAGACTTGGATACTGTTTTCTTGAAAGAAATTATTATTTCTCCTTTCTCCCCTTATCTAATAGTTAATTTAAAATCTCCATGTTTTTTAGTAAATCTTATTTCTAACTATGCTTATATTTATTTGTTTTGTTCCTATTTGTTAATATGGCTTTATATGGCTCATTCAAAGAAATTAGCTGGGAAATTCTTAACTTGTTAAACTTATTTAATTTTTAATCAGTTATTATATTATTTACTCAGCTCTCTTCCACTATCAGATTTTAAATCTTCTTTTTTCACCTGTATAACTAAAGAGGGTTTTTATGCTAATTAGCCAAGGATGACCTTGGATTATAACTTAAACTATTCTTTTATTTACTTAAACTTTTTTTTTCTTTTTAATAAGAGTGGTGTGCACTAAAGGACCAATGCAAGTTAATAATCTAAGGCAGGATGAGAATCACTTTTTTTCTTAAGGTCCACTACTACATAGGAAGAAGCACAATTAAAAACAATTTTTTAAAGCCAAACATAGACTATTCTACGTATCCATTTTTTTCAAAATAGGAGCAGGAAATCTATAACTTTTTCATTAAATACATAGCTTATTTCTATAGTGAAGTCATGTTAGAAAGAATAGATGAACTTGAAAAAGAAGAGACAACAAATGAGATGAAATTAAGTGTGGAAAGATATAGGAGAAACTAAGAGAAATATGAAAATACAAATGGAAAGACAAAAAGAGATACCCAAATACCTCCCTCTCTCCCCCAAAAGTAGATAGTAATAGAATAATGAGAAAACAAAAGATACATAAACTTTCAATTTTGTGACCTTAATAGAGCCTTTAAGAGTTATGTTTTTTTGTAAAATACAAGCAGAAATAGGGATACTTGATGTTTCACTTTAAAGGTTGATTAAAATTCAGATAAAGGTCGGCCAAACTACAATTTCTGCAGTAGAAATCTCTAAGTCTTTTATTTTATCCTATCTTATTTTCTTAATGTTTTTGAAAATGTTGACACCTAATTTTTTGGCTCAATCTTGAAATCGTAATATGTTTTCAGATTTAAGGGCTATATATATATCTAGTCAATAAAGATACTATTTAGATTTTACAGTGAGTGATTTTTAACTTGGCATTCTTGTTAAGTTTGTAATTTTTTCATGTAGATCATACGTCTGTGACCCAGAATGCACAGGAAAACAAATCAAGTTCATTGCCCTCTACATCACATGAAGACTCCTTTCCAGAAGACTATACCTCTCTGTATGTATATAAGTTAAATTTATTTATGTCATTAATGCTTTTGCTCCCAAAAAGGGATTTACTGTTGCTAATCATTTGACGTAAGAGTAGATAAAATATATAAAAAAGGATGCTTTCCCATCAAAAGTTTTAAAAGTTGTGTATTTTATGTACATCAGACTTGTCAAGAGCTGGGAAATCAGTTGGCATTCTGTGAAGCCATGTTCTGCCTTGTAGTTCAAGGTGTCTAATGACAAAACAGTTCTCAAGCCAGATAAAAACAGAGAAGCCCCTATAGTGACTGATAGAAGTAGTCACTATCATCAGTTTACCCCTACCCAGAGACTGGCAGAAAGATGCAGACAATACCAGATAACCCTGCTTTACCTACGTATCCGTTGTTTACTTACAGCATTTTTGTGTTTTTGCAGGGTCAGTAACTAGATCTACAGCACTGTGCATAGGATTGGTTTTCTTTATTTTTGTTTTTTTTCCAGTAAAGTATCTTCATACATGTAAGAAAGTTGATCTTCCTCCCCACAAAATTGGATTGAAATTAGGTTACTTAACTCCTGAGATTTGTAGTAGGTTGGTTTTCTTTCATTTGTTTTATGAAATGAAGCTTAGATAAGAAAAGAATCATTTCTTTTTTTTTTTAAATTAATTTTTAGGAAAAGAATCACTTCTGAGGTTCATATCAGTATTTCATTGCCATGTTTTTCTAACTTTTCTTTATAAATATAAAAAGATTTTTTCCTTTGTTAATTGCCTGATAACTTGAGCCTTACACCTCTTGATTTTTATTAAATTAGTCACCAGAAGAGTACTTGTAAGCCAGCTTAGCTAACTTTCTTGAAACCCTAAATTCCAAATTACAGATTTTACCAGCATGTTTACTCCTACATTTTAGCCGCAAGTAGTTCTAATTGTCTATTGTTCCAGTAATGACTAACTTAGAGCTGTACTTATTAAGTGTCACATGAGGAAATTACATAAAAATACATTGTAAACTGTAAATTACTGTACAAATTTTAGTTTTTATTTAAGAACTAATGATAGCTTATATACAATTTTCTCTCTTGCATATACCCTAAGTTAATCCCTTCATATTCAGAGAAGAACTTTTTGAATCTTCAAATTGTATTTCATATTCCCCTTCCCCCAAAATAGGGGAAATCAAATGATGACATTTGTAGAAAAGAATGCCACAGAACCCAGTTTGGAACATAATTTAGTTGGTTACATCAAGCTGAAAAGGGAAATGAAACATTCAGTTTACCGGTTGTACAACACTGTAGCTATATAAATTACTTGAGAGTAAATTAGCCTATATCAAAACAAAGAACAAAGCTGTGAGAGCCTAAGAGAATTTATTACAGTGAATACTGAGTGAAACCAAACAAAGGGATCTATATCTTAGGTAGACAAGTAAATAGTACTGCTTATAGTTCAGAATACATTATAATGAAAAAGTGGTAGAAAGGAACTTGGCACTTAATAATAGGGGAAAAGCAATTCCAGGCACAGGCTTCAAAAAACAAGGAAATATTGGATACCTAAATAAATAAATAAATAAAAACAGAAACGTATTATAGTAGACTAGGCTAAAGAACATAGAAGTTAAATGGAAGAACAAAACAAAAAGTACATTATAGAATATATTTCTTACTATGGGATGTACCCCCAGCATGTTTCAAAAATACTAAAACAGACTGAAGTTATTTAAGGGAAAACATAACCTTACCTTATTTTTTCTGCTTTTTTTTCCCCCCTCATTTTTAATGTATTAGGTGCTACTGCATTGTAGTCCATGGGTGGTGATGGATTTGCATTGATCTTTGAGCTGCATTCTCATCCACTATTTTTTGCTACCTTTTTGAGAAATCTTAAAGATTGAAAACATAAAAAGGGAGATGGCAGAAACCCATACTCACACCATCCAGAATTAACAGCTATTAACCTTTCATTGTATTTGCTTCCAGTCTCTTTTTTAAAAAGAAAACAAAACACTATAATCTCTTTGAGCCATACCTAACTTCTCACCATGACAAAGTTCCGTTGCCCTCTCTGCTTCTCTAGGAGCAGTCACTATCATCAGTTATTTTTCTAGTTCATTTTTTAATATTTATATAGCCATAAATAATATATAGTGCTATTATAGTTTTTAAAGTTTACATAAATATTCATATATGTACCTTCTTGTTTTACTCAGCATTAGTTTTTTGAAAGTTTTTTAATTTAATTTATTTATTTTAATTTTTTTGTCTGCGTTGGGTCTTCATTGCTGTGGGCGGGCTTTCTCTAGTTGCGGCGCAAGTGGGGGCTATTCTTCGTTGCGGTGCGTGGGCTTCTGATTGCGGTGGCTTCTCTTGTTGCAGAGCACAGGCTCTAGGCATGCAGGCTTCAGTAGTTGCAGCACATGGGCTCAGTAGTTGTGACTCGCAGGCTCTAGAGCACAGGCTCAGTAGTTGTGGCGCACGGGCTTAGTTGCTCCGCGGCATGTGGGATCTTCCCAGGCCAGGGCTCGAACCTGTGTCCCCTGTACTGGCAGGCAGATTCCTAACCACTGTGCCACCAGGGAAGTCCCTACTCAGCATTAGTTTTGAGATCTAATCATGTTGCTTCTGTGTTATAGATCTATTTCATCTCCTTGTTTGGATTTCCATCATGTGAGAATACATTTTATTAATTCCATTCCTTTAAGGATGGATAATTAGATTGTTCCAAATATTTACTGTTACAAATAGTAGTGCAGTGATCAGTTTTATCCCAGCCTTTCTTTTAAGAAAGTATTCATTGTGAAAGTCAATTAAGGAAATTAAAGGTATAGTCTGGGATCTTTAAGATTACCCCAAATCAGGACTTCCCTGGTGGCGCAGTGGTTAGGAATCCGCCTGCCAATGCAGGGTACCCAGGTTTGAGCCCTGATCCGGGAAGTTCCCACATGCTGCGGAACAACTAAGCCCGTGCGCCATAGCTACTGAGCCTGAGAAGTCCTCACACCTCAACGAAGAGTAGCCCCCGCTCGTTGCAGTGAGAGAAAGACTGCGCAGCAACGAAGAGCCAATGCAGCCATAAATAAATAAATTTATTTTTAAAAAAAAAGATTACCCAAAATGTAGAAGAAAAGGGCAAATGAGTGAGAAAAAGAAGAGAATGATGAATAATGTTCTCAAAAAAGAAACTATTAGCAGAAAACCAACAATTTTAGTGAACACTGTAAAGTATTTTCAGGATCATCCATATGTTATAATGCTCTTTACGAAATGTTAAGAATTTCAAGCTAAGGCGACAGAGTTAGGACCAATGTGCTGCTGCTTACAAAGGCAGTGCAGGAAATCACAATGTCTAAACTAGGATTCAGAATTGTTCCAGCAGCTAGAAAATGAAAATACATATATTTTCCATTAAAAAATTTGGTACTTAAATAAATATGAAATGTAGATGTTCTCAATATATTAAAAAATAATGTAAACTTGCCTAACAGAATCATTGCTTTTGGAAAAATCTGCCCTGTTTTTTCTGAACTAGAACAAACAAATGAACAAAAACACAAGAAGCTAGAATAAGTGAAGCAGAAGCAATAGTCAAAGAAGGTAACTTCTGAGTATAAGGAAATATCAAGTCTGGAGGCAAAAGGTTTTACCAAATACCACAGAAATGAAAATTACTAATAGATAAGTATTGATTTTTAAAAAGTTTTAATATCAGTCTTAAAGTATAAATATCTTACAAGTATCCAAACAAACAAAAAAAGCCAACAAAACAGCAAAAATCAGGCTAGCACCTTTGCAAAAGCTTAGAAAACATCTATATACATAACCTTCTGGGAAATTTTCTCGAAAATCCTCTTGCTGACCAAAAGAGGAGTCAGAATGTATAAGATATAGTATTTAAGAAATGGCAGTGGCATAGAAACCATCTAAATATAGAGTTAACTATAATAAAGATGAGTCCTTAAACTAGAGACAATGGAGGCCCTGCATGGTATGCAAAGTTTTATGTTTATAGTGTATTTCTAGAGAGGGTTCATAGCTTTCATCGGATTGTCAAAGGGTTTATGGCCCTAGAAAGTTTAAAATATCACTATTGTGGATATGGAGCTTCTAAATAAAATTTTAGCAATTCTAATCCAGAGAAATATTAATGAGATGACTTAGAATTTACACTAGTCAAGCAAGAATGATTTAGTATTAGGAAATATATTATTTTACAGAAGTAAACCACAGGAAAAAAAGCTTATCTTAAGATGCCAAAAGACTTTTAAAAGTAATATGAACCATTAGAAATAGAACTTTTTTTTTTAATTTTTGAATTTTATTAATTTTTTAATACATTATGTTCTTATTATTTATCTGTTTTATACATATTAGTGTATATATGTCAATCCCAATCTCCCAATTCATCCCGCCCCCACAGCTTCCCCCCTTGGTGTCCATACGTTTGTTCTCTACATCTGTGTGTCTATTTCTGCCCTGCAAACCGGTTTATCTGTACCATTTTGAAGAATTTTTTCTTAATGTGGGAGAGAATATGTTTCTTAAACCAGCATCCCTGTCCTATATACTGGTGAAACTTAGAGACATTTCCTTTAAATAAAGATTAAGACAGAAGTGCCTGCTATCATAATTGTTATTCAGTATTTTTATGGAAATTCTAGCCAGTATAATAGAATGTAAAAGAAAATATGATTATTGAAATGTACAAAGTAAAATTATTTGTAGATAGTCTTATCCTTCTAGAAAATCTAAGATGCAAGTGTAAAATTATTAAGCTAAAACGAGGGTTTAGTGACATAGTCACATAAAATAAAAATATGAAACTCTATACCTTTAGAAAATATGAAATTAAGTCCCCATTCACAACACCAGAAAGTAAAATAAATGAGACTAATTACAAGAAGTATATACCTGAGGAAAATTAATTCTAAAGATTTTAATGAATGGATAAACTTACTATGTGCCTGGATGGGAAAACTGCATATTGTAAAAATGGTAATTCTTCCCAAATTAATTTATAGA